AGGGCTCCACCCATTGGCCGGGTCCACTTTCTCTCCTTTCTCATTGGTTGAGATGCCCCGATCAGTGAATCCTTGTGATCCAGCAACGACGAATTAGATGGGCTCAACAAGAAGCTTCCATAAGATAGATTTCCTATAAATGGAACTACTTGCCAAAGTCGATCTTAGATATTCCAACACCTGTTGATTTACTCTCAAAATGATGAGATCAGACGCCCGGAAGAGCATCATCTTGAGAGTGAGGGCAACTGTTATGGTATTAGATCCAACCAAGGAAATGAGCCTCTACAGACCAGAGAGGCCCAAACCCAACGACAGACCGAGCAAGCTGGGGCTAGATCCCGACCCTAGCTCAACTCCAACCAGGGCTCAACCTGTTGGCTGAGCCCACTTTCTTTCATTTCCCATTGGTTGAGGTACTACGGTCCATGAATCACTGTGATCTAGTGACGACGGATAGATGGACCCAACGAGAAGGTTCTAGAAGGCAAATCTCCTATAAATGGAATCACTAGCTGAACCCTAGAGGTAAGCAAGTAAAACCCTAATTACTTCACTCAATAATTCTCCAATCGCTGACTTTAGCATCGGAACTAGTATGATCGAAGTCACACCGGTCTAGGGTTGTTCGATTTTGTAGGTATCCAGTCCCGTGTTCATCGAGTTGGGTGCATATTTAGCGAGAACCAAGGAGACCAAATTTCCATCATCAACAGAAGGTAAGCCACATTTTTCTATACAACTCCTTGTGAAGATTCAACGGACACTCTCCAGCAGCCTCTCACTCTCGATATTCCTGCTTTCTTATTCTTTCTGCTTCATACCTATTTGCCTCTACTTGAGTTCTAACTTAAGTATCAGAGTGCATTCGAAAGATGAACCACACTGTGCAAGATTTCTGTATGTGCAGGTATCAAGGTTTCAAAGACGAAGCCATATGTGGCACCTACATTTCAAGCCATTCATTATTATATTTAACCTGAAATGCCTTAGAAATCAAATAGTAGAAATCAGATGTCATTAATCCTCGTTATCTCCTACAGTCTGTTGTAAAAATTAATCCCAAATCACATTTCAAACGATCCCCTCAAATGCAATCTAAAACTGACACAAAAAGCTTGGATTAAGCGCCTATTTCAAATGCGATTGGAATCTAAAACGAAAACCCAACTTGCAAAAAGAAATAAAAAATAGACTCATGTTTGCTTATGTTTGATTCCAACTTGACCCGCTTGTTTGAATTATTTTTTGAAAACATCTCTTTCATGTGGATGCCTACTCATCGCAATTATAGATCACATGATCAATCTATTGAGTTATTAATTAAATATTAAAAATAGGGAAAAAAAGTAGCAACTTTTTGAAAAATATTGGGGTTAAAATAGATATTTTAAGAATCTAAAATGAATAAAAATTGAAAGTAGGAGGGTAAAATGATATTTAAATCTTACATGTATTATCCCATGTTTAACCCTCCAATTTTAATCTACACAAAAGAGAATCTTAATTACATCTGGCTTCTTTCCTTGAATTCTACCCAAATAACTTCGCTTCAAGCAACTAAACACAAGTAGTGTGGGGTAAGATTTAGAGACTAATCTTGTTCACGTCCAAACATATCTCTTTTTTAGCCCCAAAAATCAGCATCAACAAGAAATACTAATAAAAAATATAATTAAAAATACAAATACTAACCATCAAGTTGTGCCATATTCAAGCATAATCTACTTTCTATATTGTAGCCCCAAAAATCAGCATCAACAAGAAATACTAATAAAAAATATAATTAAAAATACAAATACTAACCATCAAGTTTTGCCATATTCAAGCATAATCTACTTTCTATATTGACTTCAATCACGCTTCACTAATGCAATTTTAAATCAAAATATTATTTACTTCAACTTGCGAGTACTGGGTATATTCACCAAATTTATTCTCTCTTCTACTTCCAGGTGTCTACCCTGTATTTGTGTTATTGTCCATTTCGCCACATTTCTTTCTCTCTTCCACTTCCAGCTATGTACAATATATTTGTATTATTGCCTCAAACCGAGTAATTCTGTGGCAGTAGTAGACATCGGCTCCTTCTAGCCATATATATATAGACTACTTTTAAAATCATTAGCGCCCAGACCCCTCCTGATGCCAACTTCGGAGGTCGAGTAATTCTTTAGGCTGATGATTTTACATTTCTAACACTAAGATGAACATTTTTATTATTAAGATTGTGATCCCCAATACTATGTTTATTTAGTCTCCTGTTCCATCGAATAGAGACTCCCTCGAGCTTAAGTTTCATATCGGATAAGATCAAAAGCCTATTCAAACGGGACGTACGGTTCACAGTTTCCGAATAATTACTAATTTGTAATATCCCAAATTTTCAATAAGTTAAATGGGGAATGTTCCGCCAAAACCACTCATTTAGTTGAGATATTATGCCTTATAACTTTAAATATCTTGTCAAATGTGAAATTTGTCGGAATTTTTTAAAATATTAGAAGAGTAAAATTACTAACACTAGAAAGATACAAGCTCATGACTTTGAGTTTTATTCACCTAAATTATAAATATTTATATTTGATATACTAATTCTAACTGTGTGAATGTGATATAAAGCTTTCAGAGATTATTTATTTAGTTATGTTTATTTTTGTAGGTGGGATTAGAGAGAATTATGTGAGATTGTGATATTTTCCCTATAATGAATTTTTCTTTTTTTGGTGGACGGTATAGTTTTTCTCTGGTTTTAAACTTTTGTGTTTCTTTTTATTGTTGTATTTTCTTTTAATTTTTAAGTTATTTTCTACTCATTCTTGCACCAGAAGTGAGAGGTTTTTTTCCTAACAACTGTACGTAAGTAGTCTCTACTTGAGAAGCCACCCAAAAACAACATAGCATAACCAACATAATAACCACTACAACATGCTTACTCAATAACATGGTCAACATACACAATACATATGCTCATTTTAATCGTAAATTCTAAGTTTCAATGTTGAATGCTTACATACACAAGACACACATAAGACTTACTCTTCTTTGAATTGTAACTCTTTCAAGTCGTTCCAAGTTATTTCCAATCTTTCGAACTCTTTAGTATTTACCATTTCGAGTCCTATCAATTTTGACTGTCTGTACCCATGGATTTAACACTTCTATATAGATCTTTGACTCTTGACTATTTGTACTTTTAAGAGTTTCTTTGAATTGCTGCATCGACCCTTGGCCATTGTGTACTCAAGGCCTCAATAACTTCGTAACTTATTGACTCTTGATCATTTGCACCTAAAGCTCCGATAGTTATCACTACTTAGCCTTATTCCATTGACCATCAAATATTTGTATAAAGAAAACTAAACAAAATTTGAAAGTACAGAACTAAAATTAATAAAATTTGAAAGGTAGAAGAATTTTGATGAAATTTTGAAAGCATATGAACCAAAATGAACTTAAACTAAAAATATAGAGACCAAAATAATATTTAAACCTGTTTAGGGGTAGTACATACCCGGGACACGTGGAGGACCCTTATTGGTGTTTGAAGAAACTGAATAAGAGGGATTGCCAAGGTCCACCTTGGCCCTGCCGAGGAGACCGGGTTTGCCCATTATGAAAGACTAAGTATAGGCGTCAAGGTTTGACCTGGCTGGGGTCCGACCTGCTCGGAACCCGACAGGTTCGATATGAGAAAAGACATATAACCGTCGGTCGTGTGTACTGTCAAATCCATCACCTATAAATAGAGGGCTTCATTTCACGCTCAGGTATCGAATCTCACCTCGAACTAAATACGGAGTCCGATCTATACTGACTTGAGCGTCGGAGTGCTTACCCTCTTGTGCAGGTCCACCCTAGTGCTCAGGTCGGAATCGGAGATCGGGTTCGAGCTTGATTCGTGAAGAACCGTTGTGCAAACCCTTGCATAAACATTTGGCGCCGTCTGTGGGAATACAAAGTAGAAAAACAATCTAAGTCATCCCGACCTAAGAAACATACACAAAGATGGTGCAGCCAGCAAACTCTGCTAACACGACAGAACGGAGGGGTTTGAACGCTGACAACGGTCCTCAGCGAGATCTTGACACTAGAACGGTCGAGGATCAGGTTCGAGCAGGGCAAGCGGGAGACCTTCCACGGAGATCGGCCCGCCATGCGAACCAGGAGTTACCCCTGCTCACCCTAAACCCTCAAAAGCCAACCGTGGCCGAGGAGGGACCTCCAGAAAGCCTCCCGAGGGGCCAATCCGACAGCGGACCCTGAGTATTTGTCTACTCTCCAGCGCGAGTTGGATGACATGCGCCATCGGTTGCGCACGATGGAAGAAATGTACGCCGAG